TATATATTTCTTTTTTTAATATTCATCATGTAAAAGTTCATAATCTTGTTTGGCTAGGAAAGACTGTGTGTTACAAAGGATACACCCAATTTATAGGCTATAAAATCTACAATGTTACAAATGACCACATAAATACTTCATCCTATTAGAAAGGTATGAAGACGTTGATAAGCACTAAGAAACGCTACTAAATGCAATATGCTAAAAACAACATAAAAAGCCCTGATTATCTACCTCTAGAAATGACTCCAATTCATGTGAGATACCCACTGCTAAATCTCTTGGTTAAAAATGATGCATAGTTAGAAAAGATAAACTACTCGCCTCCACTCAAGACTATGTCAACATTCGCCTGCTTATAGCATTAGTAAAACTTAGGTGGGATATTATTATATAATAATGTTATTAGTAAGACATGACAGTCTTAAAAGGCCATATATTTGCATTTATCTGCATACAAAGACAATATTAATTTAGACAATTTTTTTTAACACGTGGGCCAGTTTTTTAAAAAAAGAAAAAAAAAATCTATAATCTTTCAGCAGCTTCCACTGAAGGCTTATTCAAAATACACCTTATTACCAACATTACTAAATAGTATAAAGACTCACAAAAAAGTCATTTGCATAAAACCCAAGCTTTTGTGCGATGACAGCCCCTAGTTCTTGGAGCAAACACTACGTTAAAGAGGTTTTAAGGAATTTCAATCAGTTAAACTCTAAAATGTTGCAGCTTTGACTCCACTGTACCGAATGCCTGGTTACCGACAAGCCACACAAATGACACAGCAGAATACACGATCCTGTGTTATATACATTAAAAAAATAGAAGTAGGGTTGATGTGTATAAAGGGAGAAATAAACAATCATCACAAATGCCTAAAATGTCTAAAACATGAGCCAGCTACATGCATATCCATTGGAGAAGTTATTCAAATTTTAAACAGTCTGTAAGAACAGATGGGAATCACACAGATTTTAACATGTTCCCCACTATGGTGACTTCCTAATCAAGTGTCTTTTGTCAACATGGCTCAGAATACATTAGAAATGTGTCCTTACTGGGAACCAGTCCCAATATATTACATCTCAGGTCACTGGTTTGTCAGTTCAGACTTAACAGTGGGGCAAAGGAGGAAAAAAAAATGTTTGTCCCCCCCCCAAATTTCTAAATACAAAAAGAGCTTCATTAAAAAAAAAATTAAAAAAATTAAAAAGTGTAGATTCAGGGGTTAACCAAATCTGATGTCAAGATCATTAACTGTCAACAGAGTTGGCATAATAAGATCATCAGTGTCAAGAGGACAAATACTGGAAGAAAAATTCATTGTTTTACATAGAAGTGGCAAAAAAAAGAAAGAAGATACTCTTAAATGGCACTTTTCATCACATAGTGCCCTATGTGGGGGAAAACAAACACAAACAACCCTCAATATATATATATATATATATATATATATATAAGTACTTTTGTCCTGATTGAAGCGCTCATCCTGGTCAGTGCACTTTGCTTTGATAGGCTGATAAATAATGTCTGTGGGGAGGACTAAATCATTAGGCATATAACAGTTAATGGACCCCCACATCTTTTGATTTTTGCCTTCTCCCTTCAAGCACCAAGAGCCTAATAACAAAACAAAAGGAGAAGGAGGGCGACTGGCTTCTTCGAAATGTGAAACCACCCCACTGTATACTGTTTCCGCCTGCTAGTAAAAAAAAAAAAAAAAGAAAGAAAGAAAATTCTTCTATTAACATACAAACTCTGCCTTGTCTTTTCATAATTTTCACCCTTTTTTTAAACAGATAACAAGTACAAATACAACTAATGCACGACATGTAAATAAAGCCTCTTCCAGCTCAATCCTCAAGAAAGAATGACTCTTTTGCATGTTACAGTCTAATTGCTGGAATGGTTTTGGTGGGTTTAAGTACAATTGTAGACATTTGGGTTACTGACATGTTTGTCTGGTAGGGAGATCACAATGTGAAACCACTGTAATGTTATCTACAGCTGACAGTGAGACAGCGGAGGGTAGTGCGTTCCATCAGTGATGTCTCACCCACACCTTCCTGGGAGTTGGGTGCTCTCAGGCAAAGTACATGGTGCGCAAGGTGTCCTGGTGGACCTGAACAGCTTTGGCCAAGGCCTGGTGGTCACGTCCATTGCTTTGACCTGATGTGTGACTGCCCTCGGCACTGAAAGAGAAAAAAGTTGCAGAACTGTCAGTTTTTCCAACAAGGAGACAAACATCTGCAAACTAAGAGATTTTAATTTCTTCACCTGTCATGCTCTTTGTCCACCAAGTGATAGCGAGCCCGGAAAGCCACCAAATGGGCATAGTAAGCTGGTGCTGGGATGGACACTGACCGGGTGCAGCGCACATAAGTGTGACAAAGCTGGTAGGTAAGGACCTGCAGTTCATCTGATGAGAAGTGGTTGTCGTCCCAGAGCACGTGATAGTGAGACGGCCTGCTGGTTCCCTGTCCGGAAGTAAAGCGGATGTCAGGTATAATGGGTTGTTTTTAACTCACAATCTGCTTTCATTAGAAAACACAGTGGAAGACGCCTTTATCAATACATCTTATCCAACTTGACTTTTACCTGAATGCCAGCATGACTGCAAAGGTAGAAGTCAAACTCTGATGGGTGAGTTATTTTGGTGTCCACTGTGGTGCCTGCCGGAATGTTGCCGCTCTTCCCAACCTATAAAAAAAAAAAAATCCATGGAAATGTCTGTGAAGGTTCTCAGTCATCCAGGTCATTGTAGTCAAAGGAGCTTGCCTTTCTTTGCAAGCTCCTTTGACATCCATGGAAATGCTTGTTAAGCTGGAATTGCTTAAGTGCACTCTGACCCAACAAGCCTACATTACTTTGAAACCTCCCAAGCTGGTGAATATAAAAGAAAAAGAACGCACGCACGCACACACACACGCACGCACACACATACATACAAGAGTTTGCCAAATTTCTCAACTATGAAAATAGCCAAACCATGAAACACAACAAGAAAATCCCCACAGTGACTAAAGAAAAGAAAAACAACAAGAATAGAGTTGCAGCACGATAGGAGATAAAGTCAAAGGTGCCACACTCTACTTGCAGCCACCACAAAGGTTTAGATCACCTCTATTTTTATGCCTGGATCATGGAACATACAGGAGCATCTGGTTGGTTGGCTTTAGAGCTCTAACCTGATTATGATAAAGCAAGAGTTCAGCTAATTAATGTAACGCCAGTCCATTTAAAACCTTGAAGGATCATAAACATTTTAATAGACAAGAAGTTAGTGTGTCAAGGTGTTTTATTATCCCAGTTATTGTTTTTCGTTTTTGTTATAAGACAAGTTGTTGCATTTCATAGTGACTGCATATGATGATGGGATACTTAAAAATCTTTGAAACTTCCTCTGAAGCATTATTAGGGACACTGGTGAGAGCATCTTACATCACTCTATTCCTAAACTTGTATGCACTCAGTTAATAATTGACCCAGATCATTCATAAATTCCCAGCACTAGCAGAGACAGAGTACTAACCCTCTCATTTCTGTCCATACAGAACAGTCTCGTGTGGTGTCTCTTCTGAACAACCACAAAGGTAATACCAGGCTGGTAGTCCTTCTCTAGTTTGATGCAGGCCTCCCGGATTGCCAGCAGTTCATGCTGAAGAACCTGCACGCAACAAAGTCGTAAGATCTTAAAGGTAACCCTTAAAACAATATATGTACAACAAAAGCATGATTAACATTTAACAGCAACTTCTGCCAGCTCAATTAATTTCCTACAACAGCACAAGTGCATAAGGAAAATCAATCACTTTTCCTGTTTGTTATAGTTTATTCTGTGTGGTCCTGGATATATGGATCACCTGGTTGAACTGGCCCTCAGAGATGCCATCCCGATAGTAGATGATTCTGGTGGGCTTGAAGCGGGTGGACTTGTAGAACTGGATCAGCAGCTCCCTCACCATGGTAGCCAGGTCCTGAATGATTTCCTGGCGGTGCTGCTGCACCCGTACTGTCGCACAGTACCGGCTGGGATGGGCATCCATGCTACCAACCACCTAAAATGAAAAGAAAGAATGAACAAAAACAGGTATGACCACATTAAAAAGGATTTACTGAGAATGACAAATGATAGTGATAGATGCTTCATCCTTTTGATGTCCCGTCCCACATAGTTTTTTACAATGAAAACAAACAAGCAAAAAACCCCCAAAAAAAAACATGACAGACAACTGGACTTTCTCAGTCTATCACATTTTGATGACACTTTGATTAGGATGAGCTTGGAGGTCAAACAGTTTTCTTTCTTGTTTTTGAGGCAGTGATGTCACTGTCCTGTTGCATAATTTGTGAAGTGTGTGTTTAAGCTAGAACACAGTATCTTGTTACTCTGTGTCAGTCCACACACACACACACACACACACAAAAATATAACATATTGTGAAGGGTAGGTCGTAATGTGTTGTTGCTTACTGCAGCGATAGAGGGCTTTTTTCCATCTCCTGCAGGTGGATGTGTCACATCTGCACCAAGGAAGATCACTGGCTGCTGAAACACCACCGGCCTAGAACAGTAGATGTACATAAAAAAGTTTAACACAATGGCATAGCTTTCATGTGTTGAAAAAATATAAAAGCAACTCATTAGTTTCATGATAAGAATTCACCAGAATTTCCACTAACCTGCCCTGTGGGAGGAGGATGTTGTTAACACCGCCCAGCTTGACATTAATCTTCAAACACAGGTTGGAAAGAGTTTGAGGCGTCGTCTTTTGAACGTTCTTCACTTGCACGCACTGTGTGGCCATGCCAAGAACCGTGTCCCCAACACGTTTCACCTCAGCTAAAAACACATCAGGACAAGTGGGAGATATAATTTGATCTGCTATAATAAAAATAAAAAATGGAGTGTTGCACAATCTGCCCCAGACGATTTAGTGCACATAAGTAAGCTGACTAAAAGTATTTTCTACGTAAAGGATAAATGTCTGTTTTATTTATTTATGCACAAATGACTTAAAATAACTAACTTGAAGCTCAAAAATGAAGCGGAGTATATAACTTTTTCTGTAATTTCTTGTGGTTTACTTCTAAAGCAGATACAGAAGCAGTAAAACTTGTTGAGCAGGCAATAGCACAGCAGCATGTTCAGATACACTAGAAGTGGGGAGTCGTCTTTGAAGTTGCAGCAGAATGCGGTTGGAGTGGTAGGGACTAATTAAAGACCCCCTTCAGGTTCAAGGAGAGTTATAAATAACATGAATAAAACTGTTCCCTGATTTCTGTTCTTTATAAAAGGTTAATGCTTCAGTTATTAATAAGAGTTTAATTATCAAAATGAGATACTTTTGTACGAGTACATGATGCCTAACTTTACCCAAACTCAATCACTTTAACCAACTCTCATTCTCTACAAAGCAGGCTTATACTTTTCACATCTGTTTGTGATGTCACAACTTTAACCACTTAACCTAGATTTAAAGGGAACTCAGAGAAACTCTGAAAACAGCCCTTGAGTGTCAAATTGTTTTACAGAGCTAAATGCAAGCATCCAGGCGAAGCAACAATGACCATACTTGTTTCTGAGTGAAGAGCCACACCAGCGGCTTTTAAAATGGTAAATTTAAACTGCACCTGGCTGGAGAAGCCACAGTGTTTGTTTGTTTGGAAACAATCAAACAAAAATAAATTTCTCAGACAAAATAAATACCATAGTAAAAGAAGATCCCTCACCATAAACGGGTGTCTTCCCTGGTAGGATCACTACCACCAGTTGGAGGCCCTGGTATGTGTATTTGAGGTGCCTGAACATGGGCTCGACGCTATCAGCTCCCTGGGCATATTTACAAAAGCAAGGTTGACCTTGGATAGGCATTCCTGCATCTCGAGAGATCTTCCTCAGCTGATCTGTGAAAGCTCTGACAGGTGGAGATCTTGTTAATTTAAAGATAAACGGGTTAAGACACAGTCCTAGTTTAGGTTAGATGCCATTTGAGAGCTGCCTGCCTACCTTAGATACATTGTATGAAGTTTTCAAATTATCCCATTAGACTGCTTTTCCTAACATTTATTTTTAAATTACAGTGAAAAACTGTTTGGTTTTCCAGATTTCAATTAAAAAGGAGCTGGTCAGTCTTGGTGAGTGCCATGAAAAGTCAGGACATACTGACTTGCTTAAATACAAAAATAACATGAATGCAGTAAACAAAGCCTGGCTTACACACTGTAAATACACAGCACAGCTGTATGTAGTTGGCACGTGCTTTTACACAGAACTATATTTGCACAGTAGACTTGGCCAACATTTAACAGAAAAAACAAAAAGGACTGTGTGACTGTGTTTACGCACTTCTGTACAGGACCTACGCTCTGCTTTACAACTTTTTAAACACACCCAGCACCATAAGCCTTAAGCTGTCTACTATCAAACAATAACACGCACACACGATGGCATGACATACATCTGCATATGATAGATAACATACGTTCAATGTATCGCGCTTACTTAAGTAGGAGTTCGGTGCACTGTCTCTGTGGCGCAAAGCAGGCAATGGCCCACACTTTGATCTCAATACCAGTGTGGAACTGCTTGTTCCTCATGTCCCACACTCCCTGGATTGGTGTGGCTATTGCTTTGTTCTGCAAATTGCAATGAGAGCAACATCATAAGTGCTAATCACACCATCCACGATGAAGTTACTTGAATAAAAGCGAATAAAGTAATTCATGCATTAAAAGCACATTAACACATACCCTGCCTCCATACAGTATGGAAGGAGCTTGTAGGACACGGCCATTCACTTCCGTCATCTCATCCCGAACCATCACTCCGAACTCACGAACGTAAGGGTCAGCGTTGAAGTTGGCACTCCTCATCTGAATAAACACACACACGCTCATTAGCATAATACAGCAAACTTTAAGATTTTAGTCAAGTTATTTATTTTCTTTTATTCATGTTTATTCATTTCATATTAAAGGTAATCTGTATTGTTATTAATGATAATCATAATATTATGGACTATGATTGTAAACATTCTATACCAATGAGCAAATTCATCAGCAGTTCACTACAACCATCAATCTCAAAGACTTTTGTTGTCTTTATTAGCAGTCCTTCCAGCACTGGCCTCACTGAACCCATTAATTTTTAAGTTTATCATGTTGGCAGTGCTTGCTATTGGCCTTAGAACTCTGGGCAAACATCAGTGATGAATCACTTGAGTGTAGCCGTTGGCACAATGTAAACATTCTCTGTTTTCCTTCACTTGTTGTTGCAGGAATGGTGTCAAATATGTGAAAACTTAAGTTTTAAAAACAGTGTCTGTTACAGTTCATATAACTCACCAGTTTACTAATCTCATCCTGACGATCTGGTGCCGATCTGGCTGTGGCACGGATCATAGTGGAGGTCTGATTGTCTGTCAGCTTTTTGATGCAGCGCTGTCCTGCCACTATGTTACACACCTGGGGCGGACACGCGCAAAACATTTAGAAGAACAAAAAAAACAAAAATCTCAAGTCACCTAGCTGGTGAACAAGAGGTTGATGATGCTTACCTCTAGAGGCAGGTAGGTGTGTTTCTGCTCCTGCCCCACCTGTAAACATGGCAGGTGGGGGTATCGCAGGATGAGCTTGTACTTGTCTTTGAAGTACTGAGCTACTGTGCACTCTATAGTTTGGCCATTCTCCTGTTGCAGAGGGAACCTAAAGATTTCCCAAAAAAGAAAAAGCATTCAACATGTGAAACCTTTTAAATCTACAGTCAGCAGGAATATTCTTAGACCAGTGTTTCCAAATTTGTACTACTTATAATCACGACAAGTCATCTAGACAGAAAGTTTGGTTTTAAATAGTATTTTGCAGTTAATCTAACAGGGCTAAATGCAGTTGTAGGTGATTTTTTTGTTGTTGCTGTTGTAAACCTTTAGCAAACGTGATATTTGAATTTTAAGCATGCTATTTATCTTCTTTTTAAAATTTAATTGAAAATGATATTTTTTAAAAAGCATTCTTACGTTTGGTGGCTGGCTGGTCTTCTTGTCACGTTGCACACTCTGTACTTCCTCTTCATCTGCCCACAGTGAGTAATCTCAACCTTCAGGCCTGAATAAAGCAATCACAATAAAAGGAAACAAAGGTTGAACATAAACATTTTTGTTAAATAAAATTAAGGGAAAATTCATAACAGCAAACCTAACCAGTCATTTAAAACACTTTCAGCCAACTGAACATGGACACTTTAAAGAAGCTAACAATGGACAAGTAGCTAAAGGCAGCAGCCTCAGTTTGAGCAAAGCAGAAGAGAAGAGAATAATTTTCCTGTTATCTGGTGAAGTTATAAACATACTAGAAAATGATTCAAGTACATTTGTTTGAGCCTGCTTTTTTTGTAAGGTAAACTATGGCTACGTTCACACCGCACGCGAAAGCGCATCAAATACGACTTTTTTGACCTTATGCGACCCATATCCGATCATGGTATGACAGCGTGAACAGCACAAATGCGATATTTTCAAATCCGACCGGGGTCACTTTCGTATGTGGTACTGAATCCGATACATATCTGATGTTTTAGAAAGTGATCACATTAAATCCGTCTTTTACGTCACTGACACAAGACAGACGCCAATTATCAGCGCTGGAGAAGCGCCCGAGAAGACATCGCGAACGCCTCCTGGCCATCCAGTGTAGATGTTAGTGAAACTGTTGGGAAGACAACGTTGGAGAAACGTGAACATTTTATTTGTACTGTATAATCTGCAGATTCTGACAGAAATCTGCAACTATTCTTTGAAGCACCGCTGCTCTAAAACAGCAATAAGAATAATTATTAGGCCATATGTAAATAACAAAATAACTTTATATAACTTAAAGCAAAATTGGGAAACGTAAAGTGCAAAACAAGTCTTTATATTAAGGGCCATCAGTGAAACAATACTGTTTGGTCTGGCTCTAAGCAGAGTGCATTGTGTGTGCCATCTTCTTTGGCACCTGCGGGTCACTTTGAGGGTTCACACTAGAGCGCGTTTGCTGTCACATTTTATTTGCAGTGCGAACAGGCAGACAAAAAAATTGGATTTGATCAAAAAAATTGAATTGAACATTAAGACCTGCAGTGTAAATGTAGCCTATGTGAGCTAAAAGGTGTTTGGCCAGTAACTAATTTCCACTCAAATATTTGCACCTCTTTACAGTAGCAGAATACTTTAATATGTATGCTGTCAGTTATAGTTGCTAAAAAGAAAATCAGCAGCAGGTCACGCTTAGAGAAAAACCAAAAATTGGCAAAAAAAAAACCTATTTACAACCTGTATCTGAAGAAAATTGATGAGAAAATAATCTAAAAAAGTATCAGATAAGAATCTGAACTCACAAATAAATGTTTTTTTTATACATCTAAGCTCCCAAAATCATTAAAAATATGAGCTCCTACGTTTATCTTACCTTTGATTTCTTTTGTAAATTTCACTCGTTGAGAGTCTGTCAAGGGTTTCTGCTGTTCTTCTATGCTTTTGAAATCCAAGACCTCGCACATAAACTCAATTACAGGTTGGGCTTTGTAGAACGCAGTGGCCGAAACTGAAAGTAATTAGACACAGAGTTTCAGCTTATGGAAAAAGCTCAACTTTAGACACATTTTGCATGAGAAATGAATCTTATTGTGAAAATTACCATCGATGTTGAGCATCATTTTCCAAAGGGACGGCCTGACAGACTGGTGGAAACCAAACCACACCTCTCTCCCTCCACCAAGAGGGTTTGAGCATCCCTCTGAAGGAGTGAAGAAAGAGCGTCCCACTGGGGTATACCTGCAGAAGAAAAGCACCAGCAGAAAGCCAACAGTATTATAAAAGGATAAAATAAAGAGTCAAAACTATAACTGACAATGACAGAAATTCTGATGTACCTCATAGAAGGCAAATGTCTCATGACCACATCCAAGGCTTGAATAGTCTCAAAAGGGACGCTGGGTAGCCGTCCTGACAGTGCCTCATGCAGAGCTTGCAGGCTAACGCAGGACACCCACTTGATGGCTACTTTGAAGCTGCGGTCTTTCCCTTCACCAGGAATAGTTACCTCAAGCTCCACCTGTGTGATCAGTTGGGAGGAAATGAAGAGATACAATGCAGTCATATTGCAGAAATACTCGTACTTTTTTTGTTTTGTACTCAAAATAGAGCTTTTACTGTTACAGGTTGATGTGTGGAATACATACTTTGTCTCTGCCTATTGGCAAGGGCATGGCAGTGTAAAGGTTCTTCCTTCCATCATAAACCGGCTTTCGATCACCAAAGATCTGTGTTTTAAAGTGCTGGACCATGTGCTCCACAATTTCCCTGAAAAGAAAATGAAATGGACAAATTACCAGCAATGCCCCAGGTAATTATCTGCTGAACGATAATGAAATATCAACAAGGATATACCGATTGACCCTCCGGGGGCATTTTTCAGGCTTGATGTCAATGTCATAATGATAGACCTCCAATTTGGGGATTTCCATCTCAAAAAAGTTAGCTTGGAGCTTGATTGTCCTGCCCATGGTGCCAAAGTCTGGCCGTGATGGTGGCTTGAACACATATTCTGGCACTGGGGAAGATGGGGGATCTAAAACATGTGAATCAAATGAAGCAACAAAATAAATGGTAAGAATGGCATCAAAAAGACCTTTAAGACCCAACCAGCAATAAACTGCCTTATAAACAAAGAGTTGTGGTTGCACATGTAAACGAATTGGAGCATGTTTCACTGATCTAAATCAAACGTAAAACAAAAATCTGCTGTTGGCTTGCATTGCAATTAGTGGTGCAACGGATCACAGTTGATCCCTAATCCGAACCGATCCCACTCCACGGTTCGGGACGCACGTGATCTGAAGATTCGAAAAAAGAAGAAAAAAAAAGTATGTGTATGGTGCGCGTGGTCGGTCTGTCAAGCGATAGTTATGGCCAGTGCTAGCAGTCCAAGTGGAGGAGCAGAGGAAATTTCGGTATTTAAGCAGTCCTTTCCTGCCCAGTCCGACCGGGCTAAAGCTATTACAAAAGCTATTGGGGTGTTTAGCTGCAGACGGGAGGCCGTATTCCCTTGTGCAAAACAAGGGGTTTAAACTATGATGAACGTGCTTGAGCCACACTATAATATCCTGTTGCGCGTCCCACTTTAGTGGCAAGATCGTTCCAAGCATGTATGAGCAGGAAAAGTTTAAAGTTATGGCTGAACTGTCCCAGGCATCTTCTGTTGCCCTAACTACTACAAATGAGTGGACCTCCAGGGCAACGGAAAGCTACGTGACCATGACAGCTCATTATATCACAGCGGAGTGCGATATAATGAGCGGTATGTATTATTGTAGGGTCTACCTTACAATATAAAGCGCCTTGAGGCGACTGTTTTTGTGATTTGGTGCTTTATAAATAAAACTGAATTGAATTGGGTGGTAGATACAAAGCCCTATACTGTCCTATATTGAACCATAATTTTTTTTTAATAATTGCGTGGAATGAGTCTTGAGTTGAATGTTTTTAACAGGCAAAAAATACTTTAATAAGTGAATAAGTAAATGTTAATTTTTTGTCTTTTTTCTTTTTTTGCTGATCCGAAAATTGATCCGATCCGTGACTTAAAACCGTGATCCGATCCGAACCGTGAGATTTTTGATCCGTTGCACCACTAATTGGAATACACATAATAATGCCTGATAGTGGGTTAGGGTTAGGAAAGAAACAATTGAAAAAATTCTCAGAGATTAGGCATACATAAGCAGTAATAACAGTGTGTATAATGCAGTATGATCATTTTAATCAAGTGATCAAGATGTACTGTAGGGGTAAATAGGTTTTTTGTTTTGTTTTTAAAGTCAGGAGCATCACGAATGTGCACTAATATGACTTAACCATCAGCTCTAACTGGCATCATTTCAAGGATATTATATATGCGCTATTTGGAAAATATTATAGTAATATTATAATAAAACAGAATGACTCAATTTATAATTTAAACAACACCACATGGTTTTGCAGCTCCAGGACCCTGACTTAATTATCCAAATACACTGAATAATCCTCCGAATGTTTGTAGCTTTGCTTCCATCAATTACACTAGGAAAACTAAAAGTGTCACCTGTTGATAAACAGTATCGTAGTATTTGGACCTTCCCAGCTCCAAAATCAGAACCAATCTGTTCTTCCTATGCTAGGGCTGCAGCAAATTCAAGTGTGTGCATCTCAATTGTTTCAGCATAAAAGGTTCTGTATAAAACTTCTTCCATCTGGTACAACATGTCAGCTGATTTCAGTACTTTCACAAATGGGTACACACCAAAGCTATGTCCACGTGTGCATGGGATTTTTTTTTTAACCCTGGAGAACCCATGGGATCAGAGCCGACCCCATTGGTTTTCTAGGGAAACCATGGGGTCAAATTTGACCTCATGGTTTCTCCAGGGTTAAACGAGGATTTCCCCCATGAAATATAACAAAGTGACATCAAGCGCTGTGTTGAACATGCCTAAGCAACATGTGATGATGTAGCCCTAACTGTGGAACGTTGGCCAGTCAGACGCCTACATACAATAACACGCTTCACAGTCTGATGTCAAAAAACAAAACCGAGGCATGTTGAGAATGTAAGACAAAATGTCAGTTTTCCTCGTCAACACACAAACACAGAAGCACAGTATCTGTGAATCTTCACCCCTGGAAGCAGCAAAGGCTGCTTTGGGTGATCTGAAACAACGTTTACATGTGGACGAAAGTCCAAAACACACAGAAAAACAAATCTATGTTTACAAAACTGTATGTTTGTGAACAGTGACTGAGGATGGGGGACAGTGGAGGGGATCTGGGTGACATCTGATACTTTTGCTACTATTAGCAGCTGCAGGATTCAGTGTTTCAGAGAAGTCAAACAAAATTATAAATAATTTATCTGACATCCGCTAACTCTTCATCACACCATCTCTGACCTAGAACCTGACTCATGTAGGGTTTTGAAGACTGAAGCCAATATTGGGGGATTTTAAACTCAAATATATGACTGGTATTTTCATTCTTTCAAACACACAAAAAATTTGTATGTATATTTATTTATTTGCTAGTTTATGCTTTGCCTGACTCTGCTCAGATCAGCCCCTTCTTTCATTTATGGTGACCCAAACACTGTTGCAGGGAAGCTGCAGAGTACCCACTAGCGGACAAGCTATACACCATCAACATTCAGAACGTGTTTGAAAGGGTGTTTCTCTCGCCTGTTCTGTAACTTATCTGATTTTATAATTGCTGATACTGAAAGTTGGCAAATAGCTAAAATTGGCTGAGCAATCGGTTGGACTCTGCTTTAAACATTTAGCCATCACAAAATCAGCCACTGTAAATTTGTGTCTCATCTGCTAACAATCTGTCTAAAACAGTGATAATGGGTGACTTTTCACAAATGTGTTCAGGCTGTCCTAGAAAAATGAAAAAGCACAAGCTGCAGCTGTCATTTTGAACAAGTTTTAGTCAACAGACCGCACAGTTGTGGATGTAGAGCTCATACGGAGTATAAATACACCACTGAATAAATTCTTCAGAGAACTTCAATTAAATTTTTTTTTCAATGTAACTGAAATTACAAAGAAAAAAGACAAAAAAGGCAACTTGTATAATTTCTTTTTCAAACTTGATTAAAATGCTCAGATTATTTTTCTCATTCATAATTTGACTGTTTTAACTTATCTGCAGTAAGTCTTCTGGGGAATTTAATATTTACTTTTTTAAACAAATTGAGAAAAAAAATTTTCTTCATATTTTCTGATTTCTTTGTTGGAACAAAAATAATAAATAATACAGCTACTTTTCACCTGTGCCTTTATTCACAACAAGTCACCACAGCAGGCAGCTTAACATGTTTGATTTGTCACCTTTTTTTTTTAAATTATGTTTTTGTTTTTTACACTGGATACCCCTTCCTGGCCCATCCCCAAATGGTTTTTTTTTCCAAATCAGTAAACCACTACACTATGTAGCCACACTGACAATAATATACAAGTTGATATAAGAAAAACGTTTTTTAATCTCACATTTGTAATTATTTTGATACAGTAGTTGAATTATTCTTATTAATATTAACAACAATAACATTAACACATGTACCAAATCTACATCAAATCACTATATTATACCCTGAAAGATGATTTTAAATGTTAACATTTTTGCAACTTATTGTAGGAGATGCACACAGCTCTCATTATTGCTGGACAAGCTCGGCAATATCTGCAACTTCAGTTATTTCAGTCAGGACACACTCCATTCCCTTCAGTGCATTATCTTTTAGCTCCAGCGCTGTTCATTCAAACAGAAAACCTTTAATAAAGCCTAGCAATATATGGTGGATTTTAATAAGTGCCCTTTAGTTAAGTGCTCTGCACATAAGCGCACAAAATGAGGTGTGCTAGTGCTGACTAGTTGAAGAGAAAAGCATCTTCTGTAGACTCTCACTTACAGAATCAAAATACCTATATGCTTTTTGCTGGATGGTGTCACTATCAGGTCCTGTTGTTTTTCAGATGAGTACATACTGTGATGCTTGAAGGATGTGCGAGAAAAAAAATGTTGCCACTTACACTGGACCACTACTAGGGTCAATTTAAAGTGTTAAAGCCCGAATATGGGAAAAGCTTACCAGAGCTTACTGACCCAGTAGAACGGGGTCCCTCAAGCATCTCAGCAGCTACAGAGAACAAAAATAACATGTTATAAATGCTCAAAGATCCGCTCAGTCTGATACACACTGTATTTTAAAATAAAGAGTGACAAATGTGTACACCTAATAACATAGTACAGCCCAGAGACCAAAGATTCCTGCTTAACATAACAAAACCATTTGTTTATGTAGTAAGCAGTAAGAGAGCGCTGCTCATTTATTACACTAGATTCATCCCAGCAGGCCTTTCTTATCACTTCCACAGGAGTCTTATCAATAGACACGCAGAAAGTATTGAGCAGCTGGCAATCTAACGGATGAAGCCACCCCTTCCCCCTAGAAATAAACTGCTTCAACACACAGAGTCGTGTTTTGGTTTAACAAAACATCCTCGTTAAAATAACTGCAAGTGGGGAAAAAATTATCCAACATAGTGCTGATGTCGCCTGTACTCTCTTTCATTCCGCCAAAAAAAGCCAGCTGACAAAAAACCCGAAACGCACACATGAAATACGCATGTATGCAAATCTACACACACAAACACAGCGTCTGTCTGACTAACGACAGGCGGCTCAGTCGCTTAACTATCACTCTACCTAACGTCAAACTTAATCAGACTTCTCCTATATCGTTTAGTGTCTTAAAGCCGGTGTTACACTGAAATACGATCCGGTGGCGTTAGTGCGTTTATACAGCTGGTGTATTAATGTGACATATGTAAATGTGGCGATTTCAACTGTCAGGCTAATCGTATCCCAGACTGGTGATGAGATTAGGTCGGCCTCGAAATATTGCTTCAACTAGTGTGTTTAGCGCTTCAGTTCGAGAAAATGAATGATATGCGTTTACGTTCGTGTGATTTGTTAAGAAAACATAAGCCAGCCAACCCCCACTTGGTGAAAGTGCAGTGAGTTAACTAAAAACAAGTTCGGGAAACCAGGTGCAGTTGAAGCTAGCGTGGCTAGCGGCAGCTTGTTGTTGGAAGCTAGCTAAGCTTGCCTCTAGTACTAAAACACTTAAAACTGGGACGACACGTTCCTCGTCAAAGCCGTTGTTGAGTTTTATCGTAACGAGTTGGATGAAGCCGGAACATAGCAAGCACTTTATCGATGCAGCACAGAAAAATGCCGCTCCGTTATCGTCAGTTTTCTTTGGCCGCATCACGTAGCCGATGCTAACGTTAGCCGCAGCACTTACCTCCAGCAGAGGAATACATTTTGTCGACTTTTTTTAAGCGTGTGTCGTGGACGCACAAACACTCCACTTAGTTTTTCGCAGAATTCCACCAAAACTCATCCGTAGTCGAAGTGTATTTATATGTCCAAGTGCAAGGAAGGAAACTCGGTTCTAAAAACAGATATTTAGTTAGCCAAGTGGTAAATATTTGAAGTCTCTCATCCTCGGCTCGGCCCCATCCCCCCAACACGCAAAACGAGAGCCGAGAGAAAAGAGAGCGCAGGGTAAAGAACCACGCGCTTCAAGATGATTCCTTCCCATTCCTTCCGTCTTTGGTCACTTTACTTTAGGTAGTGTATATATTTACATTTGGACTTCTTTTTTTAATCACCCTTCTTTTTTACAAGATATATGTATTCATCCCATCAGTGTAGTCATGAATGTGGTCAAAAAGCTAGTATCCGCATCAGTCCACGAAATTTGATTCTTTTTTAAAATAAATAAAACACATACTATATAACACATACGTACACACAATATAACACAATTTAGAAAAATCACGTTTCCTATCAGATTTAGTATTTTATTAGCCAAAGTTAACATTTTACACGGTTGCAAACATTTCAAATACGGTTATTTCGACTTGAGGGGAAATATTAACGTTTAGATTTATGCAAAGTGGGGAACTATCTTGCTTTTCGGTGACGTCAGACGCACGCTGCGCGGTCTCAGTAGTGATGCTAATTCAAATCTTTAAAAAAAACACCATAGAGATCGCTTACCTGGCTTAAAAAACAACATGACTTTTTATAACCTGGCTAAAATACAGGTCTGGTTTAAATACGTACATAAATATGTATATAGCCACGAATCTCGGTTTTTAAAAATGTCAACAAGCACAGCAACATACCAAGTAGTTTGTTTCTTCGGGTGAGGAAGCATTTCCGGGGTACCAAAGTTTTTTGTTTTGTTTTTTATAATACCCATAGCTAGTGCATGGTAATGGATCCACAAAGAAATTCCAACGTTATAGTTCATTATAATATAACGACGGTACATACAGAAGATTTATCAAGCCATGTGATTTTATATTATACGTTGAATTTTACTTATGCTAAAAATTACTTAAAGTTTAATTAAGAATGAAATAAAATTAGATGTACACGCTCAAGAAGTGAATTATTGTCTATAGTAACAAAAAAGCTGAAGACGATACACACAGGTGGGTTGTTTCTATTGAATGTTTTTGAATGTGTATGTTTATTTATTATTTGCTCATCCAGATTCCCCATTTTACATCTGACTGGGGTGAAAGAAAAACAATAATAAGAGGGATCCTTCTTCATTGGTCTCTTTAGTGATTGCCACAAACGCCATCTCTTCCTATCCCTTATTTAGCACCCTTTGCCCAGTATATCCACTATCCCTCCACTGCACATGTCCAAACCATTTCAGCCTCGCCTCTTTCTTGACTCATTTCTAATCCTGTCCATCCATGGGACATTTAGAGGGTCTATTTAAAATGATATGACTGACATGGAGGGGTGTCACTGTGTAAGCCATTTGTTTATTAATGTGTAGTTATGTATTTATGTCACATTAAATGAATCTGCGTTATTGTTTTCGGGTGCTCTTTCTCTTTCTGTTTTCGGAGAGTAGATAGTGCTGCATGTCTCTTTAACTGTGAGCCTGGTTTCGCGTAGCTGATGCCGTTTAAATTAAATTATTTATTGTATGAGTTGCAGATTTGAGTTATGAAACATGCAGAATGTTTCCGCATGTGTGCATCCAGTTAGCAGCACCTGCTGAAACGCCAATGTAGTCTTCCAAAACTTTGAAACAGTTGCAGGCTCTTTTATCAGATTAAACTGTTACCAGTGTCACGTGATTCCCCTTTTCCCGTTAATTTAATCTAATGGGTATATTTTTAATCTGGGCGTCTGGGTTGTGTCAAATTTGAGTGCATTTATTTTATGTTGTGTTGTGGGTTTGCCAAGGTGAACGACGTGCAGCCCCTCGCTTTGTCCTCTTGTCGGCGCTGTTTACCACTGAATGTGTGGGCTGACGGCCGGAGCTCTGGTTTGTGTGCTCGGCAGCATGCTTCAGGAGGGAATAACATGGATTAATATTTAATGAGCCGTTTATTGATGCCGAGCTGTGTAAATAGACCGTGTTTGATTTGCCGATGATGTACAGAATATTTGGCATCATTCATTTGATGCAAGAAAAGCTTTTTTGAAATTTCCATGGGGGTTAGGTTATGTGCCTCTTAAAACGAAAATGAGAATATATATATGTATGTATAAAAAACCCGAGCTCATTGGCTTAAGCTGCTCAGTTTCATGTCTTTGCGATTTTATTTTATTATTAGATTATTAAATTTGATTCCATGTTTCCATGCGTGACTAGAGCAGCTAGTGAATTCTGTTCTGATAAAAACGCGTAAATAAAGATTAATAAAGACAAGCGTGATAATCGGTGGCTCTTGCAGCACGGGCCTTTTTGGTAATAGGATTTGTCCTTCTAATTTATCCTTCTGATGAATTGGCGACACTTTAATTGCTGCCATTGATTGATAGTATAAAAACACAACAATGCAACCAACATGCAGCCCGGGTGGCTTCCCCCCTTATAAGAAAGCTGGCGGAGTGAATTGGGTGTAGCTGTGTCTGTGTGCGCCTTGGCCAATGGAACCAGATCCTCCCTGCAGTGCGTAAGAGCGCGATTTAGGATTTAACCAAGTCTTTGCTGCGGGGCTGGCTGCAGTCTTCACCAGAGCCCGACGGCCTGAGAGCCTTTCAACAATGCCAGTGTAGTTTTTTTTTCTACACCGCTCTGGAGACAGACGCTCTCGGTTTTTATTATTGATTTTTTTTTCTTTCGTGTTTTTTTTCCCTGCTGATTAAATAAAAACGAACCCACGCGCTCTCTCTCGAAGTATGACCGGAGTTTTTGACCGGAGGATCCCGAGTGTGAAATCTGCAGACTTTGAGAGCTCCTTTCAACTCTCCAGCATGCACCATCCGTCTCAGGAATCTCCTACTTTACCCGAATCCTCCGCCACGGATTCTGGCTACTACAGTCCCGCTGGAGGAGTCGCTCACGGCTACTGCTCGCCCAGCTCCACCTCTTACGGGAAGCCTCTGAATGCCTATCAGTACCAGTACCCGGGTGTAAACGGATCTGCTGGAAATTACTCGACAAAATCCTACACAGATTACAGCTCCTACACGACCCCCTCCTACCACCAGTATGCTGGGACTTACAGCAGAGTGCAAACCCAGCCGAGTCCACAAGGTACGGGCCTAACATTTTATATTTTAATAAAAGCAGATTGTTAGAGGGTTATGAAGAAAAAATAAATATATGGTTGTTGTTTTTTTTAATTTTTTATCCAGGTTTACCATTTCGTCGACTGCTGATTTGCACTAAAGGTCTATAAATGCGTAATTAAAAGAAAAAATGCAAATGCATGCTTCAAATTATTTCATTTAAGTCCATTTAAAGGAACCACTTACTTTCCTTTTAGTTGGACTGAAATGCATCTGGTCCATAAAAATGTATGTATATTGTTATTACTGTTGTTTTAATACATCTGAACGATGACACACACACACACGTAATAGATAAATTCCGATAATGCGGTTTTGGGGGAAATGGATACATGGTTATACACGGTTTTGTTTTTTTGTTTTTTAATAGAAAAAGAGATAAGCGAGCCTGAGGTGAGGATGGTGAATGGCAAGCCGAAGAAAGTGAGAAAACCCCGGACAATCTACTCCAGCTTCCAGCTGGCCGCCTTGCAGAGGCGGTTTCAGAACACACAGTACCTGGCGCTGCCGGAGAGAGCCGAACTGGCCGCCTCGCTGGGGCTAACGCAAACACAGGTGGGATTTTCGATGAAAAATACATCTCAGATCTCTCAAATCACTTTTAATTTGGAAGAAATTATCGTGTTTTAAGTGTTTCAAATGTTGAGAATAAAATAATGATTTTGCGATGTTTTCTGGCTTTCTTTGTGCGCTTTTACGCAAGGAGCGTTTTTTAAGCTCCATTTGTTTTTGAGGTGATTTCGGAAGTAATCATAATAATAATGCGATTTTTGGCTCCTTACAGGTGAAAATTTGGTTCCAAAACAGAAGATCAAAGATGAAGAAGATCATGAAAAACGGCGAGCTTCCCCCGGAACACAGCCCCAGCTCCAGCGACCCCATGGCCTGCAACTCTCCACAGTCCCCGGCCGTCTGGGACACACAGGGTCCCTCCAGGCCGCACAGTCTACAGCCACAAAGCATCAACACGACGGCTTCTAACTTTTTGGAAAACACGGGGTCATGGTACACCTCAGCCGGCAGCTCCATGACTTCCCACCTGCAGACCCCTAACTCAATACAGCATTCGTTGGCTCTTGGAGCGGGGACGTTATATTGAAAAAAAAGAAAAGAAAGAAAACTACACTAAACAAAAAACAAACCTATTGTTGATTTCATTTCCCCCTCCTTCTATGGGACTCGTGTTCAAATTTCAGAGGAATATGCAATGTATTTGATGGCAGTCATAGAAGAAACGTGTAAAATGTGTAAATGTGTGCATGTAATTTATTGCATTTTGGAAGACTATTAAACGTTTAAATGGACAATGGAACTTTGAACCCCACCCCCTGCCTCCCTGCAGTCTCTTGTTATTTTAAACCCTCAGTTATTTTCTCTGAAAATCACGACAAAAGCTCGCAGACAGCCTCAGGTGACATTTTTTTGTTGTTTGCTTCCACGAGGTTGTAAATCACGGCTGCGAGGTACGTCGAGCTGAACGATCAGCATCAAATCTTAATGGTTTTCATGTGCAATTACGGCCTAGGAGTGCGTCGTTTGGGGTTTTTTTATGTTTTATATTTACTAAAAAATGGTATTTGTCTGAAAATGATTTTTGCAGATAAAATTTTGTCTATTTTTTTTCTAAGAAATGACAATTAAAAAAAACATATTTGAATGAAGGCAGTTTATCCATTTGCGATGACTGCAAAATCGGAAAAGTTAAAGGGCAAATTTCTGACTGAGCTTACATCAAGCAAACATTTGTCAAGATAAATACCTGTAAAAGGAACGGTACAGGCAATGGTAAGCGTCAGCCGACCACACCAATCACATTTTACTGAATCGAGCTGGGTGTATTTGTTCTGTAATATTGCATCTATTATTGCTACAGTAAGTCGGCAGTAGCTTATCTTCTTAATGTCATTTTTAATTTTATCAGACAAATGGTAACATGATAGGATTTGCTCATGATACAGTAATAATTCATATTTTTCAGTCAGTCCCCGTATTCTTCTTCGTATTTTTATTCTTATTATTATTGCACCTGATTGAGTCTTTAAGATAGTCTGTAAGGGAAGTGCCCGCTTCTTCCTGCAGACGGTCTGCAGCCGGTCTCACTTCTTTGTGTCCCCTACAATTAGTCGCTTTGAATGGCAAGAGAGGAGGCGAGGGGGGCGGCACGGAGATCTGAGACAATCCGCATTCCTGTGGGGGTAGACCGGCTCCAGAGCTCTGCCACTCCCGGCCGCCGTACACAGCCCACCTTCCTGCTTAAAAAAATGCAAGAACTGAAAAGAAAAAGGAAGAAAATCCTACACAGTTTGAACATGTCATTAGCAGCCGATAATACCAGCTCTGCCAGTGGGGGTTAAAAAAAATCCATTAAACAAACCGTGCCACTGTGACAAACTTAAGAGAATTGATCTAACTGAATCTGCCCAACATCACATAAGTGAGTTTTTACAAATGTTGCACACAAAATTCCTCCCTTTCTCTCTCTCTCTCACTTTATCTCTGTGTCTCTCTCTCACAACACACACTAAACAATGCTGCATCTGACCCACACACTGACCCATGCAAGTTACCATTTCCACCTGACACAGAACCCTCTTCCTGATTGCAGCCCACTGAATAGACTTCACACACACACACACACACACACACACACACACACACACACACACACACACACACACACACACACACACAGCTATAGG